ATACATACACACACAGCTAATTTGCAGTTACCTTACTTGATACGTATTCCAAAAAGCTTAAGTCTTCAAATATATTTGTCTGTAAGTTGATACTGAAGTGTATTCACCACACAATGGCTCAATGCTAATGCATTCAGCCGTTGTTTGTGTTGCTAGGATTCTGACTGATACACACAAACACAGTTAGTGTGTCAGTGGGGCAAGTGTGTGTCCTGATCTCCGGGGTGAGATTTACCTTCTTCTGGTTCCTGTGCGTTGCTTAGAAGGAGGTGAAGACGGGATGACAGGGTTCATGGTGACATGGTGGCCTCACCAGACTTCTCTGGTCTATATCGAACAGGGCCAGTATATAGTTGTATTGAAAAACAGCCAAAACTGAAGATGCCAGTATGTTGTAGAGCATTCAAAATTTGACTTAACGTTAGTAATTCATGTTCTGAAATTCATTTTCTTTCATTAGTTCTTAATAGTAACTGTAGGTGTACTGGGCAGATGTACTTTCCAGAGGACCAACTCCAACTTGAGACCACAGTGCCTCAGTCAAGACTATTGGCAGGAGTATCCCTGACAGTCATCTCTTTGTAAATAGTTGGAAATCAGAGCTCACAAGTTTCATACAGAAGAGAGCAGAACAGAGATTTCATGCTTATTAGGCCCGTTTTTTAGAGCACATGTAAGTATTTATGTATTAGTTATTTATTATTTAAGTGTTTATTTATTTGCACCATAGTTTTGTTTATATGTTTATGCATGACATTTCTTTCCAATAAATAGTTTGAAAGCATCAAAAATGTCAGACGTATATCGGCTCTTTGCTTTGCAACGTTACTATTTTAATTATTTAACTGCTGCAAGTAAAACTTAAGTCAAGTAGATATCTTCTCTCACCTTTAAAGGAATACTTCTCACCCTAATGACCATTTGTATATCAAGTACTCACCCAGTGTTACCTTCAATCCTTGAATAAAACTTGCCTCTATGGCAAGTAAGTAAGTTTACAAATTTGAGACTGTTTGTTCATAAGTTTTCTTCAAGAATTCAAGATAACACCGGGTGAGTAACTGATATACTAATGGTCATTTTGTGGATAACGTGTACCTTTTAAGGTCCCTAAGTACCTCACAGGGCAGGTATTTTGGAATTCACATCCAAAATATTTAACCAACTGCATTAACATTTTCCCGGTGTATCCTTATCTTTGAACACTTTCAGAAATTATGCCTTTGATCAGCCTACGTGTCTTCACACAGCATCCAACGGTTTTGTTTGATCAGCAAGTTTCCTTCTTTCTTTTCTGTGTGTTTATGAGAAAGCAAGTTAAGTTCTTCCAGCAGAAATCTCTACATACTAGTGACTTTAGTGATTTAGCTTTCATGTAGAGCGTTGGATTCCCCCCGAAGCATGGTAGGAAGCAGAGAAGACCCGAGGCCCCTTCTATTTGTATCCGTTTACAGTCACAGTATCTGGAGTATCATCTAGTTCCGACCTCATCTCTTTTGTAAAATTGTCTTTAAAAAATACCGAGAGCCATTTCATTTCAGGCATGGCGTTGATGTTGAATCTTATTATTTTACCCATGATTCATGATATATTTATGAGCCAAAGTAAAAAAACAACCTGCTTCTTATCACCCAGCCTTATTATAAGTGAATGTTTGGGTTTTTTTTAGCTGGTGAGGAGCCATGCGATGGTGGTTCCCATGACTGTGCTAAAAGTAGCAGCCCGTTGATAGAGTCCTAGTTTCCTAGAGGACGGTTCGCTGACTGGGAGGCCAGAGCCAGAGTTTCACAGGTCGAGGGTTGCGTGAATGAAGCATGTACAGTCTGCGCTTTTTGACATTAGCAGATTTTCCATGAGTGCATGCGTTCATGGGAGCGGGTTGAAGTTCGGTGAATCGATGGCAAAGGTCAAAAGCACAGTTAACTTAAAGTGCTGTTTCCTTTACGCTCTCATTTTTTCATCCATCACAAAAATGTCAATCACTGTTATCGGTTTTAATTAGTCTCTCTATGTCTCCTCCCCTCCTCTCTCTGTCTCCTCCCCTCCTCTCTCTGTCTCCTCCCCTCCTCTCTCTGTCTCCTCCCCTCCTCTCTATGTCTCCTCCCCATCCTCTGTCTCTGGCCCCTCCCCCTCCTCTATCTCTGGCTCCTCCCCTCATCTCTCTCTGGTTCCTCCCCATCCTCTCTCTCTGGTTCCTCCCCATCCTCTCTCTCTCTGGCTCCTCCCCATCCTCTCTCTCTCTGGCTCCTCCCCATCCTCTCTCTGGTCGGGTTGTCCAGTGGCGGAATGGACCAACACAGTAGTTCGGGCAAACGCATTCGCAAGCCCTCCCTGCTCTACGAGGACTTTGAGAGCCCGTCTCTGCCGCTGACGATGCCTCAGGGTCCTCCTGTCCCACCACAGCCCGCGGTGAACGATCCCAGCCGGCCGGGCCGCATGACCAACCAGCTGCAGTTCCTCCAGAGGACCCTGATGAAGTACCTGTGGAGGCATCAGTTCTCCTGGCCTTTCCGTGAGCCGGTGGATGCCTACAGGCTCAACCTGCCGGTGAGTTACGACAGAAACACTTTCACTTTTATTTTGTCGAGTTTGATTTATGTTTCTGCAACTCATTGTGGTGCCTGTAATTCCTCATCTCCTGTATTATTCACTATACACAAGCAATACATCATTCTAAAGGGTGACTACCACAAGAATGGATGCAGTCAACAAATTAACTGCTGCTTCATGTAAGCCAGGCCTACGTGCTCTGATGAAATGAGATTAATTGATGCATGAATTGATATTATTAATATATCTTTATTTATCTATTTAATTGAAAAACCATTAATCACATTAGAATGTTATAAATTTTACCTTGAAGCCTTCAAGGTATTGAGGAGCTGCAGCGTTGATTCATGGACAAACTGAAAGATAAATTTACTGCTTTACAAGTTTCCTTTTAATTTAATTAAACCTCTGCTCCGATCTGCTCTGAGTGCAGCCACTCTCTCTGTCTCTCTCTCTGTCTCTGTCTCTCTCTCTGTCTCTCTCTCTGTCTCTGTCTCTGTCTCTCTCTCTGTCTCTCTCTCTCTCTCGGTCTCTATGTCTCTGTCTCTTTCTGTCTCTGTCTCTCTCTCGGTCTCTATGTCTCTCTGTCTCTGTCTCTCTCTCGGCCTCTATGTCTCTGTCTCTCTCTCTGTCTCTGTCTCTCTGTCGGTCTCTATGTCTCTCTGTCTCTGTCTCTGTCTCTCTCTCGGTCTCTATGTCTCTG